GTGTCAAGTCTCCAAAACGAGCGTTTCGTACGAGACTTCCTCCAAAACTCACACGTCAAAGTCTACAAAACGAGGATTTCGTACGAGACTTCCTCCAAAAGTCAAGCGGAAACACCCATCGGAGCACACACATCACGCAGCCCTGCCAAGCAGTTTCGCGAGTCCAGCCCCTCCAAACAACACCCGCTCACACGCCAATCCCAATGTGACAGCGACATTCACCTCTACCACAACTCACGACCTCACGATTCCCTGCGCCTGCCACGAATCTCTCCGCATCCACACGTCTAACGCGCACAAAGTACTGCGCCTGCCACGAAATGTCAACTCCGTCACACCTCGCAACCTCACGATTTCCTGCGCCTGCCACGAAAATCGCACTTCCACACCTCAAAATCAGCACAAAGTACTGTGCCTGCCACGAAAAGTGAGAATATCATCTCACGTGAGCTTCAACAAAATTTGCACCACACCACACGTTTAGAATGATTTCGACCCGTTCTGAGCACACTCCCATCCACGAAAATCGCCATTTCAGCTGAGACTTGTCACGAAAACAGAGCTTCGATGCCACACCCTGAAATGCAAATCCAAATGGCACGGCCACATCCAACACCCCAAAAACACGACTCTCCAAACGCTAATCCCAATGGAACTGCGCAGTAAACTGCGGATCTCTCAAACCACTGCGCCTGTGCAGCGAAATGCATCACGCTTCTTGCGCGACATGTCATTTTCATGCAAATCACAATGGAATAGCGTCGCAAACTGACACGTGACACATCCATGAAAAGTCACTTGCAAAAGCTTCCCCCAATGGCAGCGCCTTAGCGTCCTACTGCGAACGGTTGCGGACGGTTGCGGACGGTTGCGAACGGTTGCGAACGGTTGCGAACGGTTGCGGACGGTTGCGAACATAGAAACAACGGATCGCGAACAAGACTCTACCCCCAGACCCCCAGAGTTAAACGAGAACCCTTCGCTACGCATTCGGGAAAAAGGGAGACCTCTCAAGGACCCCCTGGACAATGGACAATAGTGGTCTCCCTATTTTAGAAAAACACACCACAATGCAACAAATCAAAAGCACTTGGCACTTTGAGTCACACCAGCGAGCCAAATGCGTCAAGGGCACAAAAACAAGGCCCATCACAGCGGAGTGCCTTTCCTTAGAATGCAACCAACCTACTAGCGATCGCCTCCAACCTACTAACATCTACTAACTAATGATAGAAGGGACCTCACATCTGACATGACAACAGTTGGGGCTTGTACCAGTGGGACTGAAGCTTCTCTCCAGCTGACCTCTTTGCGGAAGCCCAAACGACGCTGGTTCTCTGAGAAAACTAAATGATTCAATTCAGGCCGTCCGTCTTTGCTGACACCGAACACTGTGCAGTTGCCATCAAAGACTTTCAGGCACAAATCGAGTTTAAGGCGGTGCATCCAAGCTCAATACTCCACTTGTGATGGATTGGTACAAGGACATCACCTTAGATGTGAGCCGTCCCGCTTGGACCATCTTTTCGCCAACCCTCCTCGGAGCCCTGCAGATCGCATGAGAGAGCCATAAAACCTGGGGTCGTCCGCTCGACCGCAGGTAGGCGCGATTTCGGCCCCGGGCACTGAGAATCGCGCTCAAAGGTGTCAGTTCCCTCCTGCAAGAGTTGAGGCCTCCGGTGTTGACACATGTGAATACATGTGACCCATTGTGACAATAGGTATCAAGTCTCATTGTGCTGGCAAAGCTTTGCAAATGGAAGCTATAAGCGATTCTTCGAGGAACTTTAAGATGATTTCGCGCTAAAAGGAACCAACATGCAGAATCTCAGGATAGATTACAATCTGACTTTGTGGGGTTCGTTTGCTTGGCTTGCTCGATTGTAAGTTGCGGACGACTCCGTCGCAACATCAGCAACCACTTGAGTGAAGCAAATGCCCACGACAAAAATCCTTGGATGTACAACGAACGCGGAAGATGTCTGGAAAGACCCTTATTGGAATGCATTGACAGCATAATTTGTTTTGCAAGCTGAGAAGAGGACAAGAGAAGCAACAACACCACCGTCCACAACAAGGAAGTCATCCTTGCGTAGAGCCCAAAAAACAACAACAGTGACACATTACACAAGAGTTTCAAGACAAGCATTGGATCCTGAAATATCGAGGACAGTTACGACCTTTTTTGTGCAGTTGTGCAGCCAAAATGCGTTGATGCAATGGATTCTACCAAGGTCCTTCGGCACGGGAAGTGGAAGCACAATGTAAATTCTTTCAAACGCGGAACAGTATCGGACGTCTTTTCGTACACAACGAAAGGCAAACATACATATCCAACACGACAAGTTGCATTTATTTATGATATTTATGACTTTTGTGTGTCTTGCAACTTGCAGGATTTGCTTCCTGAACTTGCTATCTGCAAACTGTGACAACAGCGTGAGTCCTAAGTTCGCGGATGAGACGGAGCACTCTAACCTGGATGGGCAATCTGCTGCGAAGCAAGTGACTGACCCCAAATAAGTGAAAAGAATTCAAAGAAGAATTCTGGCAATATCTGGCAATAATGCAGTGAACAGCTTCTGTCATCTTTGAAGCATCTTGGCCACCATAAGCGAGGGCCGCAAGTTCGAACCACGCACGCGCACCCCCAGACCGGCTCTGAACGCACATGCCAGCGTTGCCAGCCGGACAATTCGGACCAAGCCTTCACAGATTGGCTTCATGTCCACCGCCCAATGCAAGCTGTCTCACAGATCACTAGGTGCCCACACGGAGAACCCGCAAAATGCGCATAAAGCTCAGGTTCACGGTTCTGGACCTGGCCACACTCGGAGCTGTCAGCAACATGACGCCTTTTGTCCAGCTGTCAGCTGTGACGCTCCGCAGGACTCAGCGCTGTGCGTGCTATCGGTGTAGACCTGAGAACCGTGCTATCGAAGGCCCCCTCCCAACGTCGTAGTCGGCCACGGCGGCGAACCGAGGAACCCACCACAGCCGTCACGACCTCTTCACCTGCAGTTCGATCAGATCTCGTTCCTTTTGCCCTAAGAGTCTGGAATCAACGGAACTGAGTGCCACACTGATCTGAAGGAAAACCAGTGTGAAATCAAAGATATTCCATTTCCACCTGAACAAAACGACATCGGACATCCATGGGGCTTACAAAACGTCCTCCCAAACTCTCTGATTCCAAAACCCGTTGGCTTTCGCAGTCGCTTCGTACTCAGGTCCTTACCCGGGCTTGGTGAAGAAGTCCAAGCGGAAAGCGAAGATTCTCAACACCTATAGTAGGTGTCGTTTTGTTTTTTTGTGCCCGAACCAACAAATACTCTTCACTGGGAAGATCCGTCAAAAGAGGGGGGACCTACAGGTCTGCACCCTCATTCTTAGGTGAAGTCATCTTCAGTTCTGTCAGATCTGTGCCTCTACTTGAGAGGAGTGCAGTCTATCCTCTTGTCTTCAGAGGCCCTCACCAATTCCACAGTGAAAATGACGCCAAGGACAACCGCCACCTCAGCATGACCGGCAAAACTCCGGAGCAAACCTACATCTATGATCTCCAATTGTCATCCGAATCCAAAGGCGAACGCACCTTGTCTCTTGCAATAGCATGAATGGTGGCAACAATTCGCAGGCTAAGGCCGCTTAGACTGTGTGGCAAGTACTCCTGATTTAGTTGCCTCCATTCAATTTGGTTCCAATCATCTCCAAGCAAACAAATACTATATCTTTATCCTTTATCAAAATCGTTACACCCTCCAACACTTCCGGTTCCTACCAGCTCTTGCAGAATACTCCTACCAAGCATAGCTTACAAGAATGACTTTCGAACGCGCCCTGCCCGAAACACAATGCGAGCCCCCCCTGCGCACCAAAACCGCTGATCGAGGCGGCACTTTTGAAGCATGAACATGGTGTGTCAAATTTCAGGTCATTAGTTTCACCATGTTCCAACATTCTTCACCACTCTCCCAACACTTCCGGCTTGCAACTCCAAAAAACTCACACCAAATTCTCCCACTCAAGTCTCCTTTCAAAGGCCTAACCTCTCTGTCTCGTCGTCTCCCAACCGCGTCCTTCTCCGCTTCTCCGAGCCGCTGCACGCACCGCCGGCGGCTCCAACTCGCCGGTGCGTGCGCTGTGCACCTCGGGAGGTCGGTGCCGGCAAAACGGCCGCGGCGCCGGCGAACGGCAGCTGGGCAGTCGGACGGCCAGATCTGCTTGGACTCCCATCCTGGAAAGGGAGAGAAGCTTCAGCTTGGGGGGAGGAGTTTGGATGGAAAGAAGTCGCTCCGGAGTTTGGATAGATCGCAAACAGTAATTACAATAGAAAGTGTGTTGTCTTGTGTTCATCTGTCAAGTGAAACCTCCATCATGCATCACGCATCGACTAAGTATTTCTTCTTAGTGCCAAGCAGGATTGCATTGGCCAAAATCGCCAAACCTTGCATAACATAGCATTTCTTCTGCGTGCCCTGATGCTTCTATCAAGTCCTCATTGTGGATGCTTGGCTGGTTGGGTATGTAATGGTATGTAGAACTGTGGCTCTGGCCCATGATGTAATCAAACGCTTCCAATCTGACCTGGACACAGCATCTCTTGTTTTCCTCCATTTTTCCTGAAGAACCGCACAAGACACACAGCCAAGACTGTCGGCCGACCAGCCATAGGCACTTCTGTTGAAGGAAGTTGCACCGAGAAAAGCCTCGCGAAGCAGGTTGGCTCGCTTCCGGGGTCCTCCCTGATGTTGTAAACAAGTCAGAACTCCAAAAGAACTGAATAAAACAAGAAAGGGCGGCAAGAAGGTAAGGGGCGCCCTGTTAAAAGGGGGCCCTTACCGGCCCTTACTTTCTTATTGTCCTTCCTTTGTGATTCGCTCCGACGTCCAATCGCCTACGCTCCGAAACGATCGAGCCCACGGGGCTCCCACTGGACTTGGACGATGATGTGGGGCTCTCCGGAGTCTCAGCAGTTCCTCTGACTTCGCACGGCATGGCTCCGTCTGCACCAGGGGTGTGAAACGGTTTATCCGAAAAACCCGACATGGTCGGTCGAAACCAGCATGGCCCCCAAGGAGTTCGGAGGATCATGCAATTTTCTGCAAAAAGGTGGTGAACTCACTCCACTTCCATGATGAATCCAGGGAGTGTATCTTGAAAGCATCCTGGAACGTGCTGTCCTGCTTCTTCTGGAGCGTATCTTGATATATGATGCCTCAGCGAAAGAGAGGAATGCAGGTGGGATAATCGACTACCACGTCACAAAGACATGGCGTTTTAGGTCAGTCACCCCCCCCTCAACGTCACAAAGCAATGGGGGCAAAGCCCCGAGTCATGACTGGGGACCAGTCCATGGGGGACCGCCTCCCACCCATACCAGATTTTGCAAGGTGTCTGTTTCTTCTCTTTCTGTTCTTTCTTGTACATTCCCAATTTTCCTACAACACTGTTACAACTTGTTATAAGTTGTAATATATACATATGTATATATATATATACATATTTGTTCAATCCCTCTTGCCATGGAAACCCTCTTGTTTGGGATAATTTGGCCCTCAGTCAGAAACTACACCGGGCATAGGACATTTTTGGTTTGAACACTGGAACATGCTGTTTTTCTTTGCTCTAGGTGGATGAGCAACAGTCTAGGCATGTCTAGACGTTTGCATCACTATCGACTATCGCCACCCTTTCATATCAGGCCATCTTCCACAACAAACTTTCAACTTCCTGCCAGAATGCAGGAAGCGTACGTCTGAATGAGTAACTCGCAAAGAAAAACGCGCCCGCCCTTTCAGCTGCATGAGACATGGCGACTCGTCTACTTACATAGCAAGAGAGGTTCAGGTCTACTGAGCCTGCAGACACGAAAATGCTTCTCGGCTCGCTCATCGCCCTGGAGTCCCTTTTATCCTTCTTGTTACCTGAACGAAGGGCCAGTTTGCAGGGCGAACCAGAACCGAAGCCACAAACCCACACAACCCAAACGCCAACCCCTGCGGCCCTACGTCGCACAAGCAGCCACTCAGCCACGAAGCTCATGCTACTCATATCCAGAATCGCCGCACGAGATACACATATACTGTTAGTTGAGCATTCTGATGCAGAAATCTCGGTCAATCTGGAACAAGCACGATTTCAGTGATAGGGACCGGTGACTGTGTTCAAGGCATGGGTAAAAGGCAAGCTATCCAAAAGCAAAAAGCCTAGGGATCGGCACTAACCCTCATAACTTCCAAAGCCTCCACAAGGGTGAGGCTTTCCCCAAGTCACTAAGTCAAAGGCCAGTAGTCTCCATTACAGGCCAGCAGTCTCAGCCCTCCTTCGACGTGTTCGGCGCCTTGGACGGCTAGCTCCCTCCCTCCCCGGCCCTGGCCTGCATCGGGTGGTGCATCTGGCACAACTTTGAGATTCTCTGGTTCGCCTCAAAACGCTCAGCTGGAGAAGCTGGAGTCCTTCCGAACTCGTCGATGGCACCAGTAGGTACTTGTTCAACTGGTGAGAGGAAGTCGGAGGGTCGACCGGAATTCACCACAAAAGCACAAACACCTGGGCACCTTCCTTATGTTTTCCAGACCACAAAACTCTCTCTTCGAGAGAGAGAGAGAGAGTAGAGCAAGCCTGCCCAAGCATGAAGGCCCTTGCCGTGTTTTTCAAGCTTGCTGAAATGGTGCTGGATGCTACCAGTATTCCGGAAAGGGATCAGCCACCATACAGTAACAATGGGTCTTCGTTCCCGTTGAGCAGGTCGACTGCCACCGCCACCGTTCTCTTGGCCAGGGGGGGTCTCCTTATGAAAAAGACACACGCATGGGTGCATATTAAAATTGGGAGCCCCCAAGACCCTCCCGGGTCTTAAGACGAAGTACACCAAAACCATCCAAAACCCATGGGTTGGGGATCTCCCTATTGACGACATACACCACCCATGAACCAACAACTCGCCGAAACCGTGCGGCGACCGAGACATTGATGTGTCCAGCTGACATTCGTCCACTTCATCCAGCGTTCCAACCTCGCGTTTCGCAGCTTCTGCGAAGAGAAAAGGAGGAGCTTCTGCGTTTTCGTTTCAGAAGTCCGAAAACACCGTCCAGCAACATGGAAACACGTCTTGAAGCTGCTTGAAACTGCATCATGTCCAGCCAACGTCATGAACCAAGAATTCAGTCTTCAGCTGCAAAGCACTGAGTTCGGATCATCAATCGCACTGCTCGCAGAGCGGGAAAACGCAAAACCTGGAGACACCACATACAAGTGGATGTTTCAAGTAAAGAAACAAAAGGCAGGACTAGAGACAAAGCAACTGCGAACTAATCAATGTTTGCAGCAAAACTGCAAAACTCCCAAACATACCCACCTCGTCCTGTCCTGAGTACACAAGGTCTACTGATGTCCACTGTCCAGTCCAAGCAAGTGAATGTGGTGCCAGTGTTTCTTCGCTAAGCACTTTGCTGACTTTTCGGCGTGCCAATCAGGGTCATGCTTCCAGTTGCAACAGGACCACCAATACCTACAGTACAAGCCATGGCGCATGGCCAACGCCGCGCATCCGCGACCCCAACTGTTCCGAACCCGTTTCGGTACGAAGAGTGAGCACCGAAGACCACGTTGACTGCGGTGGTGCCGCTTCGCAGGATCACGCGGAAGGACCGGCTGACAGTTTCAGCGGGTCTTCGAACAATGTGACAGACCCTGCCGACCAAAATTCTATAGAGAAAAAACAACAAATATATAAGTAATTACATCAACCCATCTGACTTAAAGCAAGTTCTGACTCCCTTTTGCCCTGCAGAAAGTCTGCTTGATGTCGCGAGTCGGTGAGGTTCGAGCCCTTTTTCACGGATATTTCTCTCGGTCTGAGGTTCGAGCCTTCAGTGCTCACGTAAGTACCTGCGAAACACAAAGGAAAGGCAGACAAATTCACATCCAAAAAAACATAATCTAAAAAACAATAAGTCTCGACACACACATATATATATATATGATTTATAATGCCCCTTGGGATTTGAGAATACCATCTTGTATCATCTTGGGTATGATGGTTTCATCTATCATCTAACCATGGGACCTGCAGCTTGGCATTCCCTTCTGCGCACGTGCTTTCATGCGCATCCGAGCAATATCTCGCCTCGGTCCCAGGGGCGGTGGCGCCGCTTGACTCGCGCCGCTTGACTCACATGGCCGTTGTCAGCTGAGGCCGCAACTCATCGTTCATCCTTGAGCTGGGGCTGTACACTACTCAAACTGAATGCAGCTCGAAAACATTCAAACACTTATTCAAGGTTGCTCCAGTTACTCCTTGGACAATGCCTTCACCCAATCCTTTAGCCAGCTACGTCATGCGACTTCTCAGCTCCAAGCGAGACTGCCATGGGTGTGGACGTCGAAAGAGTGGGGGAGTATGGCAGCTGTGGTGGCAGCTGTGGCGACGCCTAGCAGCTGTGAATGAGTCACCGTTCGGCGCGCGACACCGAAAGAAGGCACAGAAACATGTCTTCACAGCTTTGGATGAATTCACTAATCATTTAATCCTTACAAACATCTACAACCAACAAACGCCAAAGAACCTTCTGACCGTCATCCATCCAAAAGCCCTCAGAGAGGCCCAGTCCAGCCACGGTTCCGCCGCTCCGCCTCTTTGGCTCTTGGAGACAGGGCATTGGACTCCTGGCCGTCGGACGAACAACGGGAGGAAGCTCGGGAAAGCGAAGGAAAGCTCGGACTGCGGACTGCGGACGGCGAGCGAAAATACCTCTTCGAACAGCTAGCGGTGTTTTCCCCAAAGCGGGAAGGAGTGGGCTCCTCTTCCTTCTTGCGCCAGGCAAGATGCTTTGGCTGCTCCAACCAATGTGACAGGGCACTTGATAGCTCCTGAGCGTTTTTTGTATGCGTTTTTTTCCGCACGCCAGACAAAGAACAACTAGAACAAGAACTGAGTTCGACCTGACTGACAAAGGTCTGTCAAGCGGGGTGCCTCATCGAAACATCTGGTGCTTCGCCGCCCTCTTTTGCCGGGTTTTAATCGCGGGGTTTTGCGATGAGCACCCACAAATCGGCTGTTTTCAACAGTCGGGTGCATGAGCATTGTGCTCTTGGTCACGAGGAGCTCCAACTCACTCATTTAGAGCAACAACACCTTGATTTTAAGGGCCGAAAAGGGTCAGGTTTGAATGGACAGTTGGCCTTCTCGTTGGTCAATCAGACTCAAGGAGTGCATCCGAGAGAGCACCTGTGGCTAATTGCTACGGCTCTTTTTGGAAGCCGCACATGCCTGCAACCATTCACCGCGGCAAACGGGCCAAATTCCAACTTCACCAACGGCATTTGTTGAAGCTGTGCCTGGTATCATGACAACTAGAACCAAAGGTAATACAAATAAGCAGCGGCAGCAGCAGCAACATTGTAAAGTACTGTGGCCCAGTAGAGGCTTAAAAAGCTCTCCACGCGAAAAAACCATCGGGAACAGTTAACGGGGCACGAAGAGCATTCGGCATGAATGCCAAAGGCCACTTAACACAACTCGGAACTGCATCATCTATGTCATATTATGCTATCTTGTCATGTATCATTCCTGAAAGCTAGTAAACTCAAAGTACATAATTCAGTGGAAAACCATCGTCTGTTTCCAGCGTCACCCATGCTGCCAATGGCTTCAGCCCGCTTCATTTGTTCAGAGACTGCGGCAGCAAGTTTGTCTGCCGTGAGGACGGCCGTGTCCGGATGGGCCGTGGCATCAAGTGCCCTGACTATTCACGTATACCGCCCTCGGTCGAGCGGTCGGGTCGCGGTCGGGTCGTCCGGGGTGGATCGGTTTGATTGGACCTTTCGAAGAACTCGACCACAAAGCATCGACGTGAATGAGGGAGGGTTGTAAGGGAGGGTTGTAAGAGTGAGTGTTTTAACTTTTTGAGGGAGGGTTGTAAGCATCTATATCATGAATCTAATGTCTAATGGGGAAAAAACATCGCCACATGGGGGGTTATCAAAAGTCAACTCCTGGCAATAATCATGCTCCAGGGTAGTTCACCTACTTGTTGGTACAGGGAAATTGTACAATGCAAGGGGCTTGTCACCTCCTTCCACGTCCCCACGTCACCATGATGATTTCGGGGAGTGTATGTTTCTCAGAGACCCAACTGGCGTCCCGCCACGGACTCTTCCGGAACGTCCCCGTCCCACGGGTCGTGGGGCGTATCGAGTTTGTGTCTCTGGGAAGATGCGGAGCGGGGCAGGGGGGGCAGGGGATGAAAAATGACCCCGGTCTTTTTGAAGTCTTCCAAATCCAGGGAACATGCTAACACTCCTACTCATCTATATGGAACTGATAAATGTACTATACAATTTACCGACCAGGTGTTTTCTCCGCCAACCATCCCTCAGCGGTCAGCTTCTTTCGGTCGCTTTTCATCCCAAGCTTCGATCGACGTGTGGGCTCCACCAGCTGCGGGCCGGAATCGAACAACGTGCCATCGGACATCATCACCGAGAGCTGACGATGGCGCTCGCGATCAAAGTTGAACCTGCCGATCGAGAGAATGGACAGAGAAGGCGGATGGAATCAGGTTGGGCGCGGGCTGGGGAGAGAGCTCCCCTGCGACAGGATGGCCAGAAGCAAATGGAAAACAACTGGATGACAGAAGCAAACTGGCCACAAAAGATTTTTGGGCAGCGGTCGATGGTTCCTGAAAACATGTCAGACGTCTCTAAAATATGTGGTGTCTCGTATGTCTCTCGCTTGAGGAGGCTATGCGATCCGTACAGCCCTCTTCTTGCACTTCCGTGGTTTCGGGTCAAACCGGGTCCGGACCGGCCATGGAATCCCCGGTGACCGGTCCTTGCTGGACCCCTAGACCCCCCGGCCGCACAGGCCGAGGTCCCGCCCCCCCCGAATTCTGCTAGGACTCCAGCTCCTGAGCTCTTTGCTCATGGTTGGGTTTCCTTGTTTCTCCTTTCTGGCATGTTCTGGCTGCTTCTGTTGTTTCATCCATGTTGTCTTGGTCCATTTTTCCGATGATGGTTCCTTTGTTTGTTCAATTGTGTTCCTATTGTTGGTCCTATATTGAATATTCTATATATTGATCACACCCAGTGGAAGCTTAACTTCCTCAATGTGCGTTAAAATAGGGATACCCCCCAACACCCCCTGGAAGAAGGAAAGATAGACCCAAACCCATTGGTTGGGGTTCTCCATATTAAACTACACACCCATCATATAGATTATAAGTGTCTTGAATCCAACGACACTTGCGGGCATACAGCTGTGTGAAAGATTTTGAACTGGAGTCTTCCAGTGTCACTCTCTGTGTGTGTGTGCGTGCGATAGCTCACCATCAAACAGTTCCTCCAGCATCCTACAGCTATGTGTCTATCCGTCCAGCATTCCAAAAGCACCTCCTGCGCAACTATCGCCACACTGTTACGTTAATTGCAAAAGGCAAAACCGCCTTGGAGGCCGCTGCGCGTGCGGGTTCATCCTCGGCAGGTGCAAGACTAGTAGCACTGCAACTCCACTGCCAGCGATTTGGCTCGGTGTCAGCTGCACTCTGAGATATATTCTGGCGGGCATTCACCGAAGCTCATGAAGAGCGTCTACCAATCTGCTTGAGTGCTTGCTTCTGAAACCGAGGCTGCCACAGGGCTCGCAAGCTGTTGTTCCTCAGCTAGGCTGAAAATGCATGAGTTGACAGCTGCCACAACATCTGTTGTTCACAGCAGTTCTTCCACAAATTCTTTCGCAGCTGCCACAGCAAGAGTCTAAGCAAACTCACGTCTTATATAACGGCAGCTGCCAAGGCTCCAGTCCATCTGCATCTGCTGCATTGGCAAGTCATTTGGCTCAGAACCAAAGGGCGATTCCAACTGAAGTGCTATGAAATTCTGACCCCACCTCAAATGTGCACAGGCAATGTCAGAACAACAATAGGTTCAATGATTCAATGTGTGTTTTGTTCAATGCAGAACCGTTGCACTCCGGCCAACTGTTTGCAGCAAGGGTGCAAGAAGCAGATCACTACAAAGGACACGATCGTTGCGAGCATTCTGCTCAGCAACATGCTACAAAGAACCTCACATGTCGAACCGAATTGTTTCCACGGAGCAAAGAGACAGCGCAGCCTTTGAAGAACTGCCGCGGGAACTGCCAAGGGGCTGGAACCGCGCCCCAATGCAAACAAAGCATCACGATGCCTTGATTGGAAAGGCAAGAAGAGAATGCGAGGGACGTTACGTGACGTTACTGGGTTGTACATTGTTCACAGTCCTGACTCCACAAGTCGTGGTGGCGTCCTGACTCCACAAGCACGCTAATGCATACTTGTATGCCACTTCTGCACGGCAATGAAGGATCAAGAGTCACAGGAGGCACATGACTGAGCCTTTGAAACACTGGAGAAGGCAAATATATAGATTGAAATTGTTGTACAAACAACAAGCAAAATAATGTGTCAGAAAATGAAGCTGCATCAAAAGGCAATCAAAGCTGCAACATGCTGCAACAGTGTGGAGAAAAAAAGGAAATCGGTGTGACTCACCATGTGTATACAGCACATTTTGTATGTTGTGTCCCAATATGTTGTGTCCCAGTCCATCAAACTGCTGGACATGACGCTCGAAACCCACTGATGGAACTGCCTCTGAGTGGGTCTGGAGTCTGGACAAAGATTGCATCAAAGAACCCCACCACCGCGGTTCCCAAAATCGTGGTGCTGTTTGAGAAGATCCGTTTGATCTTGCTTCGTACCTCCCTCACAGAAGGCCAACAGTATGATTTTCGGGTTTTTGGGAGATTCCCATGCGCAGCGTTGGCTCGCGGTCGGCCAGCATCACCGGTCGCGTGTCTTTGTCATCAGCCAAGAGCCGGTGCCCCACTGACAAATTGAATGCAGCTCAAGTTGCTTGCTTGCGCAAATGGAAAAGGGAACGGAAAGTCGGCGATTTTTCCTTGGAAGATCGACGCGTTCGGCCATGTTCAAGACACCCCAATGGTTCTTTTTCCAGGTCAATACCCTGATGTTTTTCAGGCAAACTGCAAGGAAAACGTGGAAAACATCATCTACCTGAATCTACCTAGACATATTCACTTTAGCCGCAGCCATCCGCAGCCTGTGTTTCAGGTCATTTTTGCCAACCTCTCTCATCTGCACTGTTGCTGAGCTCGCTGCGAGCATTCTGCAAGTTCACGATCCCTCGTGAGAGCTCTTGATATGCACGAGTAACCACAGGGGGTGCCACAATGATCACCCCATTCTGCATACTCAACCTGGCAAAAAGATCAGGAAAAATTGATCATATCAAGTCTCCAAGTCTCTTTACTACGTACAAATGGGATGGGAAACAACTTGCTGAAGAAATTCCTGAGAACGGATCTGCATGTGTGATCTGCCCGGGTTTCTGCCCCTCTCATTGCTCATTGAATCATATTGCTCTCAGCTCTCAGCATTCTCAGCCCAGTGTTTCCAGAAAACGACCACAAGCTGGTGGCAGTTCAAAAGAAAAAAAGAAACCACACGGACCGTCACGCATGGACGAGAAAACACCTGCGAGCAACGAGAAAACACACCTGCGAGACAGCACACGTGGCGTCTGCACGCGCAGCAAACCACGCAACCGGATCGGGGTGACCAGGCAGTCACATGCGCCATCCCACTTCATGCAAGTCACGTTATCAGTCTCTGGATCCACTGCAGGATGACCTCAACCTGTCGCACCAGGAACTTCTTTCAGCTGCGTTCATGCTTCGTGGAAAGTGCTACGAAAGTAGCCCCCTCTCAATGTGTTATTAAATGTCTTTTGGATCAGTGAGAATCCCCTCTCCATTCTACATGAACGATTCGCTCAAAACTCGTCATCCGTCCGCCTTGTCGGTCGTTTTGGCCAGCATTCTGAGGCTGTCTGGATCGACCCCATCGGGTGACAAGATCTCAAACGGCCTCTCCGATCGGCCGGCGCCCGTGCCGAGTAACGTACTTGATACCGGGCCGGTGGCCGAAAACAGACGTAGAAACAATTGACAAGACTATATAGTTTTGTTTGGGTGGAGCCACAAAAACCCACTTGGAGGGAAGCAGGTCGGACAAACCATGCAGCAGTCTTGCTGATTCATCCACTGGATTCACTGACAAGTTGTTGAAGAAGATCTGCCTTGGGAGGAACCGCCTTCTGGTAGCTATACTTAGTTGGTAGCCTAGCAGTCACGAGCCTGTCTCGATCTGGAGAAACTTGCTGTAGTGCACAGCAATACAGCATGCTCATGAGTCTAACCTTGGCACCGGACGTGTCATGGAACGAAACCTCCGTCCACCCACCATCATGCTGGATCGGATCGGAAGCACTCGTCGTGGGACGTCCCCAGTTGTGATGCGACTGACTACATCAGAACGAAAGCAGTGCGACTGTGTCGACTACATAAGAGATGTAGAGAAAATACCTGTAGAAGACCTGTAGAATCAGATACTAGCTGTAGAGGTATCTCTCATTGTAGAGAAGATACAGAAGCCCGGTCTGAGAATGACTCTAGTCACTCGAGTCAGACCAAAGTTGCAAGGTACAAATCTAGGGATGTGTAACCTTGTCCTGCATTATGTCTCTACCTGGGTACGGTGGTATACCTCTGTCTTTGTGAATTATTGATCACTGATTTTGGGTGGGGGAAGGCTCATGCAAATATACAATATAAGTCTTCATGCAATATCAAACTATTTGCAAAAGAGGTGGGTAGGGGCACCCCTGTGAGATTTTTGCTTGAGAATGTAGAATTCAATAATTTTGTTCATGAGTAGGTCAGCTTCTTCCAAGCATCAAATTAATGCAAAATCCTTTTTCACGCTACAGAGGTCAGACATCGTTAGACGCAAACCCAAAAGCATCTGCTCTTGAGACGAAAAGGTCCTCAAAATGCAATTATTTTTGTTGGTCGTTGGTGTTGCGTTGCGCGCACCACCCACACAGCTGACATACTTTCCAGATTGGACTAACGAACGGTTGTTTCTTTATTTATATGTTGTTCTTTTTGGCAGGATCATTATACAATATTGAGGTGGCACCCCAGCCCCCCTACCCCATTCTACAATGTCTTTACCATACCAGGTGGGATTATTTTCTTCATAAGTCATTCATAATTATTTTAAGGCAGGGGGGGCCTAATCATTTTGAGGTTGGGGGTACCTCAGTGGGCACCCTGACTATTGAGTAAATGCAAATGATTTCGGGGGGCACCGATATGTCATAACTACATACAACTACCTACCGGAAGGCAATAGTATTCATAAATGTATACAAAAGCATTTGGAAAAATTAAGCGAAACGGTATACCCTGAATTCATTTGCCTTTACTCAAGCTCACCTTTCATGTCCAGTCTAGGGTCAAAACACGTCTTTTTCTTGACAGGGAGTGCACAACAGGCTGAAAAAAGACTGGCCTGGACCTTAGACTTATTCCGCGGTCCGGGAAACAAAGACCATCTGTGCGGTGCGTTGACTGACTGCTTGGAATCTTCCATGTTTTCGTAACTTCCTGCTCCTTTTGTTGAACCATGCACGCATGGATTGTGGGATGCAGGGCTGTGGGTGACACAGAACGTCCCGGCCTTCGAAGACTAGACTAGACCACACCACGGACATGTTTGTTGGAGAAACACATACCATACTCGACCCCTCGACCTGTGGTCGACTACCCCTGCCCGCCCCCTTTTTATAAGGTCCACTCCTTTGGAACCAGCATCTCCTCATCACCCCCTTTACAGCTTGGGTGCCAGAAGATGTTGGAACTCCTCCACTTTCTTCGCCATGTCCGGCGATGGATTCGTGAAGGCCTCAAAAGAGGGCGAGGTTGGACTGCCGACTGACGTTTTGAGGTCAAGGTCAAATCTCCATCTTTCAGAGATTCGTGGAGAGTTTTTTTGGGGTTGACCAGCCGGTGGCCCTTTTCTTTCACAGACTGAGAGATGGATGGAATGCATTCTGAATCGAAGGCAACGCATCGAGGTTCAAAAAACGTGAGTCCACAGACCCCAGTCACAGACAAGGAACAAAGGGCATCGCTACTAGGAGCAAGGACGCTACTAGGGGCTCCTGGCATCGCTACTAGGAGCAAGGACGCTACTAGGGGCTCCTGGCAGTAGGAGCAAGGATGCTACCAGGGGCTCCTGGCCTTACTACTAGGAGTAAGGATGCTACTAGGGGCTCCTGGCAGTAGGAGCAAGGATGCTACCAGGGGCTCCTGGCCTTACTACTAGGAGCAAGGATGCTACTAGGGGCTCCTGGCCTTACTACTAGGAGCAAGGACGCTACCAGGGTAGGCCTTACTACTAGGAGCAAGGATGCTACTAGGGGCTCCTGGCCTTA